AAGGCCTGGCTGCATTGTCCACACGCACCGTTGGCTACGTCCCCCAAACTGTTGAGACCATGGAGGGGACCGGTGGAAATTGTGCGGGTTGCACGACCCCAGAGTATACAGATTAAATGGGGAAGACGCCGTTGGTACGTGCACCCCTCCCGACTGAAACCCTACGCGGCGCCGCGTGACCCCGTTTCGTGCCGTGACGACCGGGCGTGTGATGTGTCCGTCGACTCGGGGAGGGATGTGTCGCAGGCTGATCCTCACGTGTCTCCACCTGACCCACCCCCAGGTGTCTCGGACCTGACGGCTGTTGACCGTTGGGAAGCGGAACCCCGCGGCTCGCGCAGAGCCCCGAGGCCTGGCCCATGCCTTCCTGAACTGCTGGCGTCACCGGATGGCCAACCGCGTCTGGTGCCGTACGACGGACCGGCAAGGCGGACTCGGGCTAGGACGCAACACTTTTCATGAGAAGAAAAAAAAAATTTCTTTTTTTGTTCAAAACCCGACCTCGCCGCCGTGTCCCCCCCTCTGCCGGGGAAATGTCCCGTTCAAGGGACGCTCGGACATATTGGGACGCTGCACGAGTCGGAGAGAAAGGAAGAGAAAAAGAATAAAGAAATTTTTTTTATTACTCCTTCTGCATACACATTATCGTTGCCACTCGCCGGATTGTACATATTGTTCTTGCTGTGGGTGTGGCGGTTGCTGTTTTTTTGCGGATAGCGGTGTTCATGTTGTGTTGTTATGTTTTTGTTGTTATGTTACGGGGCACACATAAGGGGGAGGGGGTGTTGTATATTTTGTTAGCAGCCGGGTCGGCTGCGAGCTATGTGGTAGGGGGTGATGTAGTGGTGGTGTTGACGTGCGCCGACAGTGATGGATCACGGGGCGCGGGGTTGGGCACGCGATGTGGGCGTGGTATGAACGCGCACAGCCGGTGGTGAGGCGCGCTGATACAATCGGGGAAAAGAGGATCGTAGCCAGCGCGCGCAGTGATTGGTCAATAAGATGGGTGCTCTCAGCGACGTCCGCAGGAGGGGTATAAAGGGAGACGCGCGAGAGCACTCGTGGTCAGTGTTAACCAGTTGAAGACCGAAGACGGAGTGGAGGAGGTAGTGGCCCGAGACCCCTAGTCCCGCCGTCCTTGTCGGGACCGGGGCCCTGTGTGGCTCGGAGCCGAGACTGGGGAACCCGTAGTCCGACGCCCGCGTGGGTCGGGACGGTGGTACCCAGAGCCGAGACGGACACCCCAGCCGGGTGTGTTCCGGAAGGCTACGGGGCGTAAGAGCCCGTGTCAGTATAGCTGAGTGGGTGTTAGTCACCCGAGTAGCTAAGTGGGTGTTAGTCACCCGTGTAGCTGAGTGGGTGTTAGTCACCCGAGTAGCTGAGTGGGTGTTAGTCACCCGAGTAGCTAAGTGGGTGTTAGTCACCCGTGTAGCTGAGTGGGTGTTAGTCACCCGAGTAGCTGAGTGGGTGTTAGTCACCCGAGTAGCTAAGTGGGTGTTAGTCACCCGTGGAGCTGAGTGGGTGTTAGTCACCCAAGGGGCTGGGTGAGTGTTAGTCACCCGTGTAACAGTTTGGTGTCAATAAAAAGAGTGTGCTACCCGTGAAGACGTCTCCCGCCGAGTTACTACTTTACATATGTACTCTTTGGTTATTTCGGTAAAGTCACGTAGGTATAAAATTAAATAAATCACGACGTTTCTGGCGCAACACAAGCGTCCATCATCAGGTGGGAAAGCTTTTAAATCGAGGGCAGTGTAGATGATGCCATCACTCTGAGCTTATCAAGTTGTAATGACGCGAGGGCGAGTTTATGTGCTTATCTGATTTACAATGGAGCATGTTAATCTGAGAATATGCGGTGCCTATTAACGGCTGGCTTAGTCTAAACTCACGTAGGTATAAAATAAATTAAATTAAATCACGACGTTTCGGGCGCACACAAGCGTTCGTCATCAGGTAGGACAACTACAGCAAGAAACAATTGCACGAAACGTCGTTATTTACTTTAATTTATTTTCTACCTACGTGACTTTACCGAAAGAACCAAAGAGTATGTATTCCTGCAGTCACGAAAGCTTCAAATCAATACTTATGTATATGTATGTGTGTTGAAGTTCTTTCGCACCGTACGTAGCCAACCTCGCTAATCGGAGGTGCGGGGGGAAGGACAACCAAACTAAACACAAAATCAGTTTTAAAGAAATTATTTTCAATCTAGATTTTTAATTATTTTTCATCTAGAGTTGTTGAGTGAGTGAGTGGGTGAGTACGAGTGAGTGGATGAGTACGAGTTAGCAAGTGGGTGAATTAGTAGTCGTGAGTTAATGAGCGAGTGGGTGGGTGCATGATGGTAGATGCTTGTGAGTGACCCACGTTTAATCTTCTCAGGGTTTCCACGAAGAGAAGAATTTGAGACAAGACCGACAAGTCAACCTAAGACTCCAGACTGTGAGAGACGAATTATTTACTTACCACACCCACCACACTCACCACACTCACCACACTCACCACACTCACCACCCCCACCGAACTCACCACTCTGACAACAATGCCCCTTCTTCATCGCACATAAAAGAGTTTAAGGTTAGCTCTAAACGTCACATTATATACAGGTTCTCGTCCACTTATGAACGAGTTAGGTTTCTGTTCGTAAGTCAATTTGTTCGTAAGTCCAACTTTACTCCTGTTGATTCCAAACATGTTGTACGGCATGTACACTAAACACGGGGAATGGTGTTAAAATTAGTGTAATCTCCTGTAGATGTAGATGCCAGTGGTTTTTCATGTTCTGCAGATGTAGATGCCACTGGTTCTTCACGTTCTGCAGATGTAAAATTGGACATACGGACAGGTTTGTTTGTATTTTTGAAAGTTCTTAAGTCGAATGTTCGTAAGTAAAGGAGTCCCTGTATACATGTGTAGTGCTCGACTTGACACGACAGCTTCTGGCTTTTGTATCTCCTTTTATTTCGCGTACACCGATCAACATTCCTCCTCCGCGCTCTCCGCTCGACCTCACTCGCTCCGCTTCTCTCCGTCGACTCTCCTCTCCACTCTCCTCGTCACAGTCCAGCCGCTCTTTATCGGCTCCGCCGTCCCACTCAGCCGTGTCTCTATCAGCTTCTCTTCCTACACTCCAGCCGCTTTCTACTGGCTTCGTCGTCTCACTCCAGCCGCTTCTGCTGGCTTCTCCACTGCTACCCTACACTTCTCCACCGCTACCCTACGCTTCTCCACCGCTTCCCTACGTTTCTCCACCGCTACCCCACGCTTCTCCACTGCTACCCTACGCTTCTCCACTGCTACCCTACGCCTCTCCACTGCTACCCTACGCCTCTCTACTGCTACCCTACAACTCTCCACTGCTACCCTACAACTCTCCACTGCTACCCTACGCCTCTCCACTGCTACCCTACAACTCTCCACTGCTACCCTACACCTCTCTACTGCTACCCTACGCCTCTCCACTGCTACCCCACGCTTCTCCACTGCTACCCCACACTTCTCCACTGCTACCCCACACTTCTCCACTGCTACCCTACACTTCTCCACCGCTACCCTACGTTTCTCCACCGCTACCCCACGCTTCTCCACTGCTACCCTACGCTTCTCCACTGCTACCCTACACTTCTCCACTGCTACCCTACACTTCTTCACTGCTATTAGCTCCGCTGCTTCGACTCCAACATCCTCTGTCTCCTCCCAGGCGCGAACTCCCGTCTGCTCCAAAACCCCCTCTCTTTATCCCCCAACCAATTAATCTCCAATTAATCTGGGGCATCCCCCAGGACGCTACTCGCCCCCAGCCCCCGCTGGCACCTGCCATGTTTTCCCAGACAATGCGGCGCCACTTAGCGACAACAATTCCTTGGCCAATCAGCGCCCTGCATCCTTAATTACACCTTACCACCTGCTACCGTCCTCAGACAGCGCGTCACCTCCGTTGGACAACAACAACTCCCAGCCAATCAGCGTCCTGTGTCCTTAGTTGCCCCCTACTCGTCTCTGACCTCCCTACGCCAAGCAACAACAACACCCTCGACCTCGTTTGCTCCCACTGTACTCCACTCGCGCGTATACCCACTCTCGCGTGTGGCGCGTACTTTCAGGCACTACACATATAAATCCTGTTTAAGGCCAAAAAGTGTCGTTGATTACTATGTTTAGTCTATGGGAACCTCATTTGCCAGTAAAAATATGATAATTGGTTTTTTATACTTCTATCTGGCAACAAAACTGACACCTTTTTACAAGGAGTCATGTTTGCATAGACCGCAATACCTGCAGTCATAATACAAACAAAAGAACATAACTCTGATAATGTGCACTGTCCTTGAAGTTGATTGGTCCACGAGTGTTCAGGCTTTGCGACAATGAGATTGTTGTTACAATGAGGAAACGTGCTGGCAACCGTCGCTGGTGATGATTTGCTGTGTTGTACGGTTGTCCCAAATTTGCCCCAAGTGGTTCCTGGCCCTTTAATGAGCAGTTATGCCTCCACCGCAGGCAACTGCCATCACCCTGGCTCGGTGGGCGACCCAGAGACGTCTCACAACATCAGCGTCGTGGGGGAGACGGCAGTGGGGAAAGAGATCGCGTTGAAGTGGGGGGAGCCACCAGAAAATTGGGAGACGGGAGAGTGGGAAGGGACCGGTGCGTACATGGCGAAGGGAGAGAGGGGAGAGAAGGGAGAGATGGGAGAGATGGGATTAATGGGAGCGAGGGGGACGAGGGGAGAGACGGGGACGAGGGGGGGGAGAGGAGAGAAGGGGGAGAAGGGAGAAATGGGGAATGCGTTGGCGAGAGAAGACAATTCCGAGGAGAGTTCGCGCACGGAGAAGGGAGAGAGTGGCGAGAAGGGCGAGCCTGGGGTGAGGGGAGAGACGGGGTTGAGGGGAGACAAAGGGGCGAAGGGGGACATTGGGCCGAGCGGAAAGAAGGGAGAGACCGGGCCGTGGGGACAACAGGGAGAGATGGGGCCCACAGGGGAGAGTGGAGCGATGGGAGACCCAGGGGTGGACGGCGACAGGGGTCCGAGGGGAGAGAAGGGAGAGACGGGCGCCAGGGGTTCGAGGGGAGAGAAGGGAGAGACAGGCGCCAGGGGAGAGAGGGGCGCTGACGGTGCTCACGCTAAAAAGGGAGAGAAGGGAGAGGATGGGGTGAGGGGGGAGCCTGGGCCCTCTGGACCCAAGGGCACCTCCAAGAATCCTCAGCTCACCGTCGCCTTCTCGGCGAAGATGTCGCGCGAGGTGGCTGCGCTGTACAGCAACCTCTCAGGCAACCCGCCTCAGTCGCTGGCCTTCGATTCGGTGATCACGAACACGAGGCACAGCTACGACCCCGAGGAGGGCCACTTCACGTGCGTGGAGGAGGGCGCCTACTTCTTCTCGTTCCACGTGCTGCCCCGCCTCGCCATGCCGCCGCTGCGCGTCAAACTGGTGAAGAACGAAAGCCCGATGTTGGTGGTGTCGTCGTCGTCGTCGTCTTTGTCGGAGTCATCGGCGTCGTCGTCGCTGTCCACCCCGCTGAGCGGCTCGACCGTGCTCATGCTCAAGAAAGGAGACCAAGTGTGGCTGCGTCCAATGCCGTCGAGCAACGGCCTCCACGTGGACGAGTTCACCGATTGCTGCTTCACGGGATACCGCCTCTAACGGCAGATACATTTTGTCATGACGATGCTCCGGAGTGTGTATGTGTGTGATGCTTTAAACAAAGATCCCCCGTATAGCCTTAACAGACTGTAGGGGCAAGTGCTGTTAGCGAGCACCTATGAAGGCCGGAACGGTACACGAGGGGGTGGGTGGCCAGCACCACGCCCGACCGCCTTTGTCTCCCCAGTGGCGATGTTTACACACCGCACCAGCTACTCATTTCAGGCTGAATCGACCTAGGTGAGGCCCAGGACCAGTTCAGATAATCGTCACTGGTGTTGGCCGTGAGCGGGAATCAAATCCGGGTCGCCAGGTTCGTAGCGCAGCGCGCTAACCTCTACACCACCGCTCCCCATTTAAACACACACACACGCACACACACGGGTACATGTTACCTATTTGTACTGCAAGCTTTGCCGGTAACTTAAGATTTTAAAAACGCAGTGTTTTCTTTTTCATTGGATTACTCTGCAATTATTATTATTTGCTTTTTATCATAGTTCTTCATTTGATTGGAATGTCGAGAGTATTATTACCAGCCTTTACATTTATCTTAGGTTATTTTTATCTATATTTTATTTTTATGCACAGCGCTATGGAAAACAGTAGATCATCGATTCTAGATTTGAAGCTTTCGTGACTGCAAGGATTCATATTCTTAGGTGTTTTCGGTAAAGTCACGTGTACCACGTCGTGCATTCTTTTGGCCCCGCCCCCCCCTCCCCCTTCCGATGCGTTCTACGTGTCACTTCGTGCCGTCTTTGAGCCCCGCCTCCCTCCCCCCCGATACGTTCCATTCATTGGCTACCACATTCTGATGAGCTCCCCCCCTCTCCTCCCCCCTCAACTTGCTTTTAAGGGATTAAATCTTGAATCATTGCCTCACTTGATGCAGCAAATCTGGCTGTGACGGTCCCACCTGATGACGGAGACTTGTGTTGCCTCCGAAACGTCGTGATTTTTTATTTTATTTTATTTTTATTAATTTTTATGGTTTACCTACGTGACTTTACCGAAAACACCTAAGAATATAAAGATCATCGATTATCCGGCGCGCAATTATCCGGCTGCTTCCAACATTACCCAGCGGTCCCGGGCGAATCCGGCAAAACCGCTCCGTGTGCGTGACAAAAAAAGTAGCTACGCTTGATTTTAGTGTCAAATGTTACATTCAGTATCGTGGGACCTTTTTGGCAGTATCAGAGTATGAAAAATAAGAATCGGTTTTAACCTTTCTGGTAATGTTCAAACACCAAATATATACCTTCTGCAAGGAATGAAGTCTGCGTTAAGGGGCCGTCCATAAATGACGTCACGCGATTTTGGACGATTTTTGACCCCCCCCCCCTTCGTCACACGGCGTCACGAAAAGTCAGACCCCCCCTCAAATATGACGTCACAAAGCTCTGCCCCCCTCTTCAAAAAATAAAACATGCTTCAAATCGCTTTAAACTATTGTAATTGTAGTGCGTATTTAATGTGACGCTACACTCTGATGTTGTAGGAGAAAACATTTATTAAAAAGTCTATTTAATTAAGCAGAACGTGTTGCCAATATTTATTTGAAGTTGCGCATTTTGATGTGACGTCAAATTTCTCAGCCCCCCCCCCCCCTTGTCACACATCGTCACAAATGTCTGACCCCCCCCCCTAGGTGCGTGACGTCATTTATGGACGGCCCCTAACCACACACAGTACTTGGTGACGCATTGTCTTTGAAATGGATTGGCCTACACGAGGGACAGCCTTCTTAATGGCCTAGTCTCGTATCTATTTACTGTTTGAACATCTTAACACGCCCTGATTTATTGCTATAAAGGGTAAAACCTCATTATATGCAGCATGTTATACACTACATAAACAACTATAAATATGAAAATGCTGCACGTGTATACATTTTCATGACGAATAACTACAGGAATAAAAACTGTAAATTTACACTGCGATCCGGTGAGAAGTGTGTTGTGTAAGTCGGCGTTCGCATTTGTTCAGCGATCATCAAACGCTATCGTGTTGTTAAAACAAGGGCGTAGACCACCTCATGGAGAGCCTTCGAGATTAGAGTGGTAAGTATGGTACAGTAAATACAGCCACTTTTTAGAGTAGGATATATATATTTTTTTCTCCATTTGTATGTTCATTTTATGCCATTTACACATAGCAAACAAATTATAAACGCTAAAAACTACGTATACACAACACCTAAACACATAACGTCATGCACGAATGTGCAAAAAATAAGCAATTTCAAATTATTATGATTAAGCGATTATCTGGCATTTTCAAAATCCGGTGCCCCCTTCCCCCTAAAGCCGCCGGATAATCGATGATCTCCTGTACTTCAATGCGAATAGTGCTTTATAAAATGGAGGTTATCATTATATCGACATCCTCCTTCGGTCTTCGCACTTGATCGGCCAACAGTGATGACATCGCCTAGACTCCCCTCTCTATTTTAAGACCGTAAAGTCCGTAAAGTCACGTAGGTATAAAATTTAACAAAAATAAAATACACAAGCGGTCGTCCTCAGGCGGAAAACATAATCCAGCAGTGGAACTGCTGAACTAGCGAGAGAGTTCTAACAGCTTGTGTTGCGATCGAAACGTCGTGATACATATTATTTATTTTATTTTATACCTACGTGACTTTATCGAAAGAACCAAAGAGTATGGATTCCTGCAGTCACGTAAGTTTCAAATCAAGATTGTTTCCTCCTGCTTCGCTTTTAAATCGAGGGCAGTGGAGATGATGCCATCACTCTGAGCTTATCAAGTTGCAATGACGCGAGGGCGAGTTTATGTGCTTATCTGATTTACAATGGAGCATGTTAATCTGAGAATATGCGGTGCCTATTAACGGCTGGCTTAGTCTAAAACTCACGTAGGTTTAAAATAAATTAAATTAAATCACGACGTTTCGGACGCAACACAAGCGTTTGTCATCAGGTAGGACAACCACAGCAAGAAACAATTGCACGAAACGTCGTTATTTAATTTAATTTATTTTCTACCTACGTGACTTTACCGAAAGAACCAGAGCATGGATCCCTGCAGTCACGAAAGCTTCAAATCTAGGAGGAACATTTTTTAAGTAATTCTGGCTCGTTGCCTGATGAAGCTATCTGTTGTTGTTGTTCTTGTTGTAATCACTAGCCAAACCTCACCATATACTCGAATTGTAGATCAGAATATTGTATTTATACTGCAGGAGGAATCCCATGAGCTATACAGCTCTTTTTCACGGATGTCTCCAGTAGGGGCACGTGGGTCAGAACGTCACAGCAACAAAATACAATACTCACAAACACGATAGGAGTGGGTTAACGCTCCAATGCAACGACCAGTCAGTGCTGAATGAGTTAACTGAGTGGCACCGTAAATAATTGGCATCGTTCGCACCCTACGGAGACGGCCGTGCTAATGGGAGGTACTGGTGGTAGGACATCAAACAGAGCTCCATGTATTTGCATCGTCCTTAACCAGAAGTTCGGCAACCAAAATTAACAAGAAAAGCCCTGATAATTGTTTTTTTGCCCTCCTATCTGGCAACAAAACTGACACCTTTTTTACGAGAGTCATGTTTGCATAGACCACAAACAAAAAACATAACTCTGATAATTATCAGAGTTATGTTTTTTTTGCATTATGACTGCAGGTATTGTGGTCTATGCAAACATGACTCCTGGTAAAAAAATGTGTTAGTTTTGTTGCCAGATAAGAGGGTAAAAAAACAATTATCATATTTTTTACTGGCAAATGAGGTACCAATGGAAGAAAAGCCCTTTTGTCGAATTAGGTAACAACCAAAGACGCTCTCTATAGTTCAAGAGGCCGCAAATGCAACGTTGGTGAATACGAGATGGGGGCGCTCATCGATACAAAACATCACAGAAGCCAGTGCCTTTAAAGGGCCGCGTGTGCCTCCGGAGTGCCACAGATTACCAGATTACCCGGCACCTGTTCATGATGAACTGCATCAAATACACGCCGAGTAGCTGCAAACGAATGGGATGGAGTCAACCAGGGACTATCAACAATTGCCCAAGCTTCTGCAGTACTATATATATATCAAGGCCGTAATATTCAAATATGCTCAAAATGCCCCCCCCCCCAATATATTGCTATAAAAATATAAAAAAAAGTAATAATAATTGCTATGCTATGTAAATGAAAACATCAATTTGCTAAAACCTTGGCCACAATATCTGGACCTGTCTTCATATAAATCAATGCATAGATTGCTGTTCATATAATTGTGATTATGGTTTTACTTTATTAATCCTTAATCTCAAACATTGCATTCAATGAAACACAAAATGGTAACAAAAAAATTAAAAATAGAGCAATGTAATACAAAACACTATTAGACATTATTGTAAAAAATAAATAAAAAGTCCATCCCATGTGTTAGTGAATTTTTTAAATATTTTAGGCAGGAAATGGCAGGAAATGAGTTTTCAAATTTAGATATTTTTCTGGTTTGGGACCCCCAGACCCCCTGGAAGATCTTGTCTCCCCCAATGTTGACTCCATGGCTACGGCCTTGATATATATGGAGATGTTTTTAGACTAAATTTAATTAGTTTTGTTGTTGCAACAAAACTACTGCTCGTAGGAATAAAGATTAATTTCAAAGTTGTTCGACCGCGTTTCACTCAACATAATCACCCATTCAGCTACACGCTCACTTATACACTCATTCACCCACTCAATCATCCGCTCACACACTCATCAACCCACTCACTCACCAACTCACCGACCCACTCACTCATCCATTCACCCGCGAACTCACCCACCAGTTCGCCCACCTTCTGACCAGCTGCACGTGTAACTCACGACACCGATTACTGAATCACCCACTCAGCCACATTCTCACTTATATACTCATTTACCCACTCATTCATCCGATTACACACTCATCCACCCACTCACAGACTCACACACTCACCCACCCACTCACTCTTTCACCCACTCAGCATACTGCAGGTCAAAACAAAACA